TACTACTACTGCTACTCCTCCTGCTGCTGCTGCTGCTGCTGCTGCCACTGCTGCCACCACAGCCTCCTACGAATATCACAGCCCAAACAGCCAGACCACCCAGTGATTGCTTCGGAAGTTCGCAGCCATCCTTCGATCTGATCGTGTGAGATCCCGGGCCTCGAAGCACAGTCGACAGAACGGTTTTCGACCTCTGGTGATGTATGCTATTGAAGGTGCGTCTCGCACTGATTGCACCTCTCGCCTTGAAGGCATCCCAGGCGGCGATTGAATGGGGTGACCCGAGCTGCTGGTCGGGATGGCGGGTACATGAGCTGTGTTGTTATCCGAACGCAAAGGTGAAGCGAGACGGAACCACGGAGGAGCTCGGCTTTCAACCGTGCTGGGACGAGACCCGGAATGTTTCGCGCTGCTGCCGGCCTCGTGGCTCCTTCTTTCGGGTCAGTGGAGACCTTTCGGCCCGTGCAGAAGCGTTTCTGGAAGGGTGTCAAGCACCCGCGTGGCAAAACTTTTTGTTCAAAGTCCGCATGACTGCCGGGAACTTGTGGATGGTGGACTCCAGAGAAACCAAATGGTTCCAGTACTTCGGCCTTCGGATGGCAAGGCGCAGGTCGACTGGTGCCTGTGCTGCGGGAATGGCCATTCACCGCGTACTCTGGGACTACTTATCTGTGGATGTTTCAGAAGAGTCGATCACAGCCCTGAATGTGCTTGCATCCTTGGACGTGGAACTTCGAAGGTGGGGCGGCCTCTTTCCAGCTTTTGGAATGACCCTGGAGCAGCTCCGCTTCATCCGATCGTTGCAGCTCCTGCAAAACCTTTACACAAACAGGCCAGTTCGTAGGAAGTTCAAATACCAACCCTTCAACAACCGGGTAGCGGGTGCTTCGCCGATGGCCTTTGATTTTGGTGCTTCTGGCGGACTGGACACGGAGTTTTATTTGTCTTCCGGCTTCAAGGTCGTTGCCATAGAGGGGAACATAGCTGCACTTCAGAAGCTTCGCTCGCGTTTAGTGCGTTTCGAAAACCGTCAGAACTTGACTTTAGTCCATGCAGTGGCGGGTGCAAGCTCGGCCCCACCGACGGCAGAGTTCAAGGTTGACCACCACCAGCCAGAAATCTCTGGGCTTTTTGACAAGAAGCCTTTCAAGGATGGGAACGTTGAGATAGTACCAAGGAGAGCCTGTGGAGCTTTATACTCCCATTTTGTGCGCCGCAGCCGTCGCAACAGACCAGAGTATGTCAAAATCGATCTTGAAGGATTGGATGTGCCCTGCCTAGTAAGTTTGCTCCGGAATTCAACCGCGCCGCACGAAGGGCCAGACGGCATGCTTCGCCCCTGGGCGACGGGCAGGCGGCAGAAGTCGGTGGCTAATTCCAGTACCATGGCCAGACCGCCTTCCCCCAATTTCTTGTCAATCGAAGTGCATCTCAGACACCCTGTCCACATCCTGGAAGAGACGGCCATCGAAAGAGCCAGGATGCTTCGGAATTTGCTGCGCGGCCGCTATTGCGCCGCAAAGTTGTGTCGGCAGCACATTTACAACATTAGACATGTTGAAGGTTTCGGGACTCTTTCCCGCTCTGGCTTGGGATCTTCGGGCCTGTTTGGAAATGCTGCTGTGGATTGGAGAGCTGGGGAGGAATGGAGGCCGTTAGAAACAGTTCTGACGGAGCTTCCACTGGCCGGCTGGCTTTCGGTTCTCGCTATGGAGTGGTTTGACCTGCACCTGCGCCGTTGCTGAGCGGAAAACTGCGTGAACATGCGGGATCCCGCAATGGACGGTCACAGGGACACGCCGGTTTCCAGAGCCTCACTTGGGTCAGCTTTCTGCAGGCAGCCCTGGAGCAGAGAAACGACTGCATCCGACGAGCGGCCTGGAGGCGCTTTTCGCGGGGCTGCGGGCGTTTGACATGCCATGGGCCCTGAACGTAGCGGCGTAGCGCAAAGGTGGCCTCTTCTGGGCGGAAGGGGCGATGCAAGAAACACAACTGGGCAACCCAAACACTCTGACCAAGCAAAGACGCACCATCGGCTCAGCAGCAAGCACAACGAAGGCACTGAGAGGGAAGAGAAACAGGATGTAAGGCATACAGGAAATCAAAGACATCTGCACTGCAAGAGGAGCTGCCAGACCAGGTCCACCGTTCGACTGGCATCAAATTGTCCCAGATGCTCCAACAAAACGAGGAAGCCAAGCTAGGCTGAAATGCAGAAGCTCATTTTGCCTGTGCGAGGCTTTCGTTTCTAGTTTCATGAGGTAGGTATACTTTGGAGCGGTTTCATCGATTCATCACGCTTATCTTGTTTCCTAGGGTGAAGTTTGACTTCGGGGTCTGGAGGATGTTACTGTTCCACTTCAGTTCACGACAAAATTTTTCGACCCATTGCGAGGGTTTGCTCTTTCTCGATTCGGGCATGTCGTTCATGCTGTACTAACCCCGCGTCGTAGCGGAGTGGTCTTCGGGGGTTGCAGGCGGCTCTGTGAAGTTGGCTTTTCAATCTTAGCCGTTCATGTGCTTTCCATGATGGAGGCTCCAGGAAGAGTATGCCGCAGAAGATGTGCAGCGTGAAATCCTTGCGCTTCGACAGCTTTATCCGTACCAGCAGTGGCTTGGCTTCAGCCTGCTAGCACCCTGATCTTTGCATACCTGGTTCTCTTCTCCGTCCCAGGAAGAAGAGCATTTTGGCTTTGGAGATGGAAGGAGAAAAGCGAAGGATGCAGGCCGGGAGCTTCCAACGTGTACCTAGCGACAGCCCTGGGTTTTCCCGGGAAGATGCGGAGAAGGCACGAAAGACTGTGCGTTTCATACACCTGGCATGCTGGCACAGCCCAGCGCTTCGCCGTCCAGGAGCCAGACGATGTGCAGCGCTATGTCGAGGCAGCTCAGGCTCTGAAGCAACAGGGGTGCCTCAGAAAGCTATGGAATTTTTCCGGCAGGATACAGGTCAGTAGGTTCTGACGAGCACCAAGGTGTGAGGATGCGCACGCGGAGGCCCCAACGATGGATGAGGGACTGGCTCCTGTTCCAGATGGCCATCAAGGGCATCCAGAGAGAGTCGGCTCTTCGTCTAGACTGTGGGTTCTTCGCAGATTTCGGCATGAAAACGCTTTCGACGACTGATGAGGTTCCAGGTTTGGTGGTTGCAATGTGCCGTCCCGTATGAACGCACATTTGAGGCGAGGAAGGGCATCCCCAAAAAGACGACGTCTGGAGCTCGGCCTGGAGTTATCGAGTATCGCTGACTGTCAGTGAGCCAAACGTGCAGTCGTAGCTTTCGCGCGGAACCGTGGAATCCGTGGAGCCAAGGCCAAGGGCAGAACCGTCGAAGAGGACGCAACGCTCTCTCCTCGTTATTGAGTTTGTCTCGTAGCCCATTTCGGGTAAGTGTTCGGACAGTTCTCAGTCCCTGTAGCCATGTGCTTGGGAGGATGGTTTGCATCCATCGTGTGAGGTCGTCCGTGCGGATAGCTTTTCTCGTAACGAGTCAGTTGCGCCGTATGTTCCATCCCTAGGTCAGGAGCTTCAGGTGAAGCATCCCTGGATTATGCTGCCGACCTCCAACCTGCTGGTTGTTACACATCTTCCCGTGGTTTGTTAGGTCATTTCTGTGTGCAGCGGGAAACGCAAAAAATCACTCCCAGAACCATCCAGAACCTCTGTCCTTGTCGGCACCCTGTGGCACTGGCTCGGCTTTCAGCCGGAGGTGTTTGAAGTTTTAGGTGTTTCCGATAGAGATACGGCGTGTCAGCTGGGATTGACGACGCAGTTTCACGGAAGAGAGGGCGTCTCTCTCTGCGCGTGTGCGTGTGTGTGCGTGTCTGTGTGTCCGCTGCATGCAGGAACTTCGCTTTCATTGCCGCGCGGGCCTGGCGGCGGTGCAGCGGCACCTCTGCTGCACTCTTCTGCGCCTTCTGCACTCTGCGTGGGAGGACTTGCCAAGCCAACTGGGCCCCGTTCAGCTAAGGCAAGTTGCGCAGCACTCCTACGAAGACGGTTCCAAACCTGAAGGCTCCTCCGAGACGGCGCAGTATCTGGCTGTCTCTCACCAATTAGAGTATCTCTCGGCATTCAGACTGCATATAGTCTTTGAAGTGTGGACATGACAGGCTCAACGCTTGCACTGCTGCCCCAAAACCACCCCTCGGCTCTCGCCGGTGCTCTTGCAATGTGTGCAACTTGGCTGAGCCTTTGATGAGTGCGCTCCTCAAGCTCTTGCGAGTCTCTGTGTCGCAGCGGGCGCATGGTTGAAGGCGGAGGATGCCATTGCTTCAGCCATGGCCGGTGCACGAGAGGCGCACTTGGCGCAGCTGCGGAAGCAGGTTGGGCTTGTTGGACAGCTTACATTGAAAGTTGCAAGCACAGCAGGCGATGTGGGCCAAGGAAGGGATGGCAGGAGAATTTTTGCTTCATCGAAAGCCTGATCTTTTGATTGAAACGTGCCGCCTTTTGGAGATTTCCTTTCCAGGAACCACAGCCGTGGCTCCTCAACAAAGATGCAACCAAGCCTCGGAATGTTGGAAAGTCCCAGGCTAGCGCTTGTCCGAAATTGTTCGGCTCGTTCTAGCAGAGCTAGGTTTCTGCACGGACGGCTGAGGCTGAGGCCGAAACGAAAGCAAAACGGCACGGGCCCGAATAATTTGTTCGGCCCTTGACCGTCAGCAACCCAGAATAAAAAAGCGAAAGCAAAATATCATGTACCACTCGTGGTGCAGAAGGTGGCTGCAGGGTTTGTGGTAAATTCAGAGTTGAATTCCATTTCCTCATGCTCCCGGCTGGACATGCCCTGCACTCAGTGTTGACGCCAATGACACAGCACAGCCGTGCACACAGGAAAAAATCTTGTCCCATGCGCTGCAGCCGCTGGAGCAGTCCGAGGATGAAGGAGACGAGGTACTTGGGTCTGGTGTGCTTGATGTGCAGCACATAGATTCGTAACTTGATCATTCGAGATTCGCAAGTGCTGCAGCTTACTAGGACAGTAGGATTTCACAAGTATGATTTTGTTTATGTGGTCATGAACAGAGTCAGAAGTCGTGCATGGTTCTGAGAAGTTCTCCTACAATGACGCTTTCGCCTCGCATTTAGAAGACATGTGTGTGTCCGGCTTGTCCTCCCTTGGCTGTGCGCATGTGCAGCGACTGTGAGGTGGATGCGGGTGATGCGAATAGGTCGCTTGCGCTGCTGCAGAGACTTGGGGCACTTGAAACGGAGACTGCAGCATGCAACAGATTCAAAACATCTGACAGTTGACTTGCCGGGTGATTGCAAAGGAAGCCTAATCTTTTTGGCGACACTGATGCACAGCTTCTGGGCAAAGACTTGCTGACTTGCTGACACAGCCGACAACTTCTCCAACCCGGCCGGTAGCCACAGTGGCGAAGCTATCTTGCAGCCCATCTTTGAAGGCAGAGGCTGATCATTCTTTTGCAGTATCAGGTGCGGTGATATCCGTTGTTTTACGGCGATTGCCTAGGTTCAACAGTGCCCTGCAGAACTTGCCTGCCGTGAAGGCGGCTCGGGATCGGGCCATGCAACTTCCCAGCAGGGCAGTCCGAGTGTTTGACAGACTTTCGTGTCGAAAGTATGTCTCTGGCATGAATTTACATGGAATGATCAACAAAGGCGAGCCTTGGGTCTTCCCGAATCTCTGGCGCCAACAGCTGCGCGCATGACTGAGCTCCTCCACGACACCGATGCTTGGAAAAGATCTCAGCTGGAATTCGCCATTCTTTTCACACGGCTCGTATCTGAGGACCGCACCGCGCGGGCAGCCAACATGCTATCCATGAAGCGTCTGCGCTGCCAAGTGGCATGAAGCCAATTCTACTCCCCTAGCATTCTGTTGTGACGACGCGGTTGTAGACTCTCATGCTCACACATGTTCATGCTGCCTACAAGGGCTCATACCCTCGCCACACCCGTCTATCAACGGCGACTCGGCACTGAACACAGGATGCTTTTGCCATCAGCTTGTCAGCTTGTTTAAGCAGCGTTTGCACCTGGCTGGGTAGGTCAGGCAGCGGAAGCTTTGCGAAGCCGCGGCGTTCTCATGGGAAGCCCTGCCACCTGGTTCTTCGGAATGGAGGCTTTCGAGACCCAATTTCCTCCGGAGCCACGCGAGTGCAGAAAACATGAGAGAAACTGTTAGCTGGCAGGGCATTCAGCACCAATTCCCGGCTGTGCTGGAGGCCTCAGTGCCACGGGCCTGATAACACAGAAAGAGTTTCACGATTCTCAATGACAGCAGGAGCTCAGCAAGGCAGCCAATGCCGGCGTTTTCAATCACTGGTTTGGAGGCATGCGATGGGCAGTGTGTCGCGATGCTCTATATAAGGCCAAGGAAAGTGCATGCTTCGAATTTGGCGCAGTGGAAGAAATTCTTCTGGCGGGGAACGGCCATGTACTCGTGCAGCACAACCGTTCTTCCCATCACCTTGATCCACCTTGTCTGTGCCACTTTCGTTCCACCGGTTGTCGTGCGCGGCCGCAGGCCCCCGAGCTGGCCGCTATGCTGTTGTCACGGGAGAGGACTCGAGCAGTCGAAGACCTGTCATTTTCTGGTGGGTTGTCGCTTCAGTGTGCCATGAACATGTCGGCGCGATTTGGTGTTCGGCGCCCGAGTGTTGTTCCAAAAGTCGTTTGCGCGAAAGCAGGAGCTGTGGCAGTGGGGTATGGTGCATGTCTTCGAGACGCTGCATCTCCTCCAGGTGGGCCTCGAATGCGGAGCAGCATTGTCGATGCACTTATGTTGGAGCACGCATGTAGGCATCCAGATATACATGCATACATGTGTGTGTCTGCGCACGCAACGATGCAAAGATGTGTGTGTGTGTAGTATATAAACTAGCGATGATTAGATAAATAACTATATTTATGTATCTGTGTGTATATAATGTATACATGCAGGCACATCAAGATACATCTCCGTCTGTATGTCTATACGCAAGTTAATAATAAAATCCCGAGCTAACTAACTAAACCTGTCTTTATCTGACCGCTTTGCTCCCGCCCGACTTGATGGCCGCACAAGATTCATTGTCACATGTTTCCAGTATGTCTGAATGCATGGAGTGTCGGACGCTATGATGAATAAAGGCCAGCTTTGACCATATCGATCATAGCACCTTCCTCTGACACTGAAGGTTTTGTCGTCGTCTCGTAGGGCCTAACTCCGCAGACTTGCGGACGATAACAGCCCACACGAATCCAGTGTATTGCCAAAAGACACCTTGAGACCAACTTTAGTCTTGCCAAATCGAGCAGAGCGCTTGGACAGATTTTTGAAAGCAAACACCTTTTTCGGCCCGGGGATGCTCAAATGCACTGTGGTCCCAAAGCGTTTGCATAAAAGCATTGTGTTCTTTCTGCCGGCCCTCGCCGCTGTTGTCACCTTCGCAATGTAGCCAGAGCACGGAGCACGCGTGCAACGACACGTGATGTGGCCGATCATTGTATCGAAGGTGTGAAGAGGGCACACATTTATTCAGGAGTTGTTGGCAAGGCTAACAAAACTTGGCGATCCTGCACCCGGCACCCCTGCGAGCCTTTTGAAAGGTTTCCCAGCGTAGCCATGCGTAAAACGCGTGAGACAAGATTGAGGCACCACAAGCATGTGAGAAATCACAGCAATACCGCAGTAACGCAGTGAAGAGAGCTCGAGATGTCGAGCGAAGTGCAGCAACGAAGCGAAAGCAACGGAGGGTTGCATAAATCGAAAGAGTCGAGGACCAGCTGCAGATGATATTGAATCAGCTGGGGGAGGAAGGTCGTCGACTCCGTGTACGCCTGAGCCGCTCCATACACGCAAGATACCTTTTCTGCAGAGCACTTGGCATCCTGCGGTGTGCCTTTGCATGGTGTCCCTCGTTTGATGCTGAGGTGTCGAGCAACAGATTTTGATCAGCTCCACGGCGAGAGCAATTGCCGAAAACCACAGGGGACCAGAGAGGAGCTATGAAGTCGCTCAACCGAGGCTTCCACGGAAAAGGCCAGCAGCTGCCACCCTGGGAGGCATTGCAGAAGAACACTCCGACGACAGGACCCTGGATGTGTGTTTTCGTGGCCCCCTGATGATGGCAGGACGGCGCAGGTCGACGCAGTCGCCGAGTGAGCTTAGTGTGCCTGGGAGTGAATACCCCCCGAAATGGGAAATGCTGTCGGCCCGTCTGTGAGTCCGTTCACAAGGTGGCATCCGAGCTACAGTCACCGTCGTGTCGTCGAGGGTGGTGCACTTCGACTTCATCCAGTGCGACGAGATGGGCGGAAAGGCGCACCCAACTCGTGCGGTTTGAGTCTGCTTGGGGAGTAAAGGTCAGGAGTCGAGTTGCTGTCTAGGAGGATCAAAAACTTCCAAGACTCTACACAGACGGCGCTAGCTTCAATTGCGCCACTTTTTAAGTTGGCAGAATCTCAATGTCCAGCTGCCTTTTTGCCCACATCTTGGTTGGATGTCGCCCGCTGTTCTTCTACCCGTGTGTGTGTGTGTGTGTACCCGCCTGGACACGGCGACCTTTGAGTGAGGGGACCATTTTGCTGCAGGGGGGCAGTGCATGCCNNGACAGTCACTGCCCAACGAAGACACTGGTGCGTGGTGATATTTGGCCTGATCAGCCAGACGTACCTGCTTTCGGATTAGCCAGCGGGCCCGCTGTGGCACTGGAGCAACCAACCCTAGAGTGAAGCTTCTTTGTCAGTCTGTATGGTTGCCGCAATCTGTCGTCGTCTTGTCCTGTCAGTAGCTCGTCGCAGTCATTCGTGCCGTGCCAAAGTGTGTTTCTTTTTGGAAATCTTGTCATGGGGCCATATCACAGCGGGCAAACGCCCAAGCCCACGATAGCGGATGCAAACGCCAACGCTGCAAAGCTGAAATTCATGTGTCAATAATCATCATAAGTTACAGGTTCATGTTCGGAAGCCTTCCCATACCAGTCGCCTCGTTCATTCGGAGACTGACGCGCCAGTGAGTTGCGTCCCGATCGACGACTGCATATGCAGGTTTTTTCGGAAGGGTTAGGGCTCGAGGCAACGCGATTAATGCAGGCTTCGAGCAGCGTCTGTGTGCGCCTTTGGCTCATGTCCATGGTCATGTCACATGGCAGACTGCATTGTTCAGAAGTTCAGACTGAAGTTTTCTCCGTGCTGTTTGGTTGTTGATTGATGTCTCGTGTTGTTTGGTTGTTTCTGTAATGTTCCTACTTCTCTCTGCCGTCGAGTATGCATTGCTTAATAGCGGCATTGGCTGGCTTCTCGAGTATGAACTTACACCCCGTTTTGTAGGAACGTCAGTGCTTGCCTGCACATGCATCAGCCGCGCGACCAAGCGCCGTACCCTCCTGCATGTGATGCAGATGCCTCCTCCGAGTTTTGCTCTGCCTGCGCAGCTCCCTGAAACAATGGGCACGAGGGGATAAAGTCCGGGAAAGGGAGCAGTGCATCAAGGTTCCTGCAGCCTGCCTTGCTCCTCTGCTGGAGTTGCAGCGCCGATTGCGCAGGCGAAAGCAGGCTGCCCACCAGCCAACAAAGGAGAAGCTTCGGGCCAGCAGTTCCCACAGGCACCACAGGCCTCCTAGCGAGCAGAAGCACCGTGCCACCAGCTCCCACAGGCACCGGTGGCGAGCAAAAGTACCGTGCCAGCAGCTCCCATTGGCGCCGCAGACAGCATAGTGCACGCAGCCAACGCAGTGAGTGCAACAGAGCCCGTCCAAAACAGTCTCAGCACCCCCCTTGAAGCAGGCACTCAGGCAGCAGCCTCGCCGCATAGAATAGGTGCTGAGAATAAACTTCTCGAAGCGATTGGGAATCTGGGTCCACTGGGGCCCTGATGCAGCTGATCAGCCGGAGATTGGTTTGGCCATTGCTGTGCAACGGGCGTTGGAAAGATCAAGAAGTCAGCCCGGCGCTTTGCTCCAAAAGTTCACCAGCTTGGTTGATGTGGCAAAGAAGGGTACAGGCTTTGGTAAAAGGCCCAAAACAAGCTCGTGCTCAGTCGGAGGTTGAAGGTAACTCGCCCGAGAGGCCTTTCAAGAAGTCTAAGACTGCGACTGAGAAGGATACAAACGTGGAGCCTCAAGACAGTGCTGACACAAAGGGCAATGGTAGGGGCAAGGGCACCCCCGGTGCTGCCGCCCAAACCTGGGCCCAAAGACTCGGTAAAAAGGGTGAGGCTACGTCTGACGCTGGTGTGCAGGGTGCTCGCCGTGAGCCCTCAATCCCGTTGCTCAGCAAGGCCTACGGGTCTGATGCTGTTCTTCAGGTGTCTGAAGCGGGCAAGATGCCCACCAAGAGGTCTGCGGTCTTGTGCACAGAATCCTCTTTTGTTGATTTTTGTCCAGGCTTTTGCAGCTGTAAGGGCTCCAAAATGCACCGAAATAGGGTCCTTCGGCACTTGAGTGAGGACGGCATGTTTGTGGAGCATCTTACTTCAGATGTCCAGACTAAACCGGTGGTCTTTTGCATGCCCCCTCTCGAAGGCGAGCCAGCCAGAGATTACTTGAGCCGCGTCGTTCAGGAGCGAAAATGAACATACCACCGTTGCTCATCGTAAGGGGGGAGGCACGTACCATGGATTGCGCACCCCCCAAAGGGAAGCACCAACCTCAGAAGCATGCGTGGTTGCTGAAAGGTGCTCCGCGAAATTGGGATGCCCAAGACGTGCCAAGACGTGCAAAAGTGTCTCCTCGACGCGGGGGCTCAGGATGTGGAGGTGATTAAGGCCGCCGGGGCGGGTCAAGGCTTGGCTCCTCACAGCAACGCACCAAGACAGTAATGAATTGTGGCAGCGATCTCTGCGGGGTCCCAGACCTTGCTCTTGACTCCCGTTCCTAGTAAGGTTACTCGTAAGGTTGATACGGTTGAGGTTCTCAAGGGCCATTCGCAGGCCTTCAACGAGCCTAAGGCTGCGCATGTGCCGTTGGCTTCTACGTCTCAGAAGCCCAAGCCTCCGTTGACCTCCTCGGAGGCCAACGGCCAACCACCCGAGGAGAGTCGTGCTAACATTCGTTCCCCGAGACACAAGTCTACGGAGTCGCTTCGAAGACAAATACGACAAGTTAGATTGTGGCGGCGGGGGTAACTGTGGTTAGTTGTGCTTGGCTGCTGGTTTAGGGTTTCAACGGGGACAGAGATTTCTCGGCGAGGGTGGCCACGATCAGGAATGATATTTACAAGCATGTTACCAATGTCACGCATGAGGAGAGCTACAAGACCTTCTTTGAGCCAGAATCTCTGTCTGCCAATGAAGAGCAGGAGGCTGGTCCTATCCCCAAGTCCTGGGAAGAATGGGCCCAAACTACGCTCAGGCCCGGCCGGTGGATAGATAGCTTCTCCACATTTTGGGAGCTTCTAAAAGAGATTCGGGGGATGCATCATAGTGGTCCCCACGACCGCTATAACCGCAAACGACAAGGATCGCCCGATGATGTTCGGCTCCCTTCGTACAGGCAAGGAGCCCATAGTCTTGTTTCTTCGAAGTGGTCATTATCAGTTGGCAAGACTTAAGCCAGGTCGCTAATGGCCCAAAGAATGGATTTCTGCTGAGCCTGCTGAGGTCAATCACAGCATGCTCCGTGCGGGGTTCCAGAGCGGTTCCGGAGCGGGTTCCGGAGCGGTTTTCGGAGAGTTGCGGAGCGGGTTACGGAGCGGCGGAACGGGTGCTGGAGCGGGTTCCGGAGCGGGTTCCGTGAGCGGCTGGGTTCGGAGCGGGTTGAGGAGCGGGTTGAGCGTTTTCCGGTTCCGGAGCGGGTTGCGGAGCGGGTATAGAATGTGGCAAGAGTTCACGACCTTTCGAGCCTTACTTACGGGGTTTCGGATTGCAGCTTTATATTCCGGTGGTCACAGGGTCCGGAACCTCCGTTTAGCGGTCAGGCTTTCCAGGGTTTGTGCAGGGTCTAGGGTGTTATATTCCGGTGGTCACAGGGCCGGAACCTCCCTTTAGCGGTTAGGCTTTCCAGGTTTGTGCAGGGTCTAGGGTGCGCAGTGCAGTGTTTCGGCGTGGATGGACGGATGTCTGAAAAGCCGAAGATATCAGGTTCGACGACTTCTGAAAAATCAGACACACACACATACACACACGAGCAACGAAGATTTTAGGGCTTAGGGTACAGGTTTAAGGGTGTGATTAGGGTTTCTTCGCTCCATGTTTGAGAACTTCACACAGGAAGCTAGACCTATGGGCCTGATTATCTTAGGGTTCAGGGCTCAGGGTTCAGCCGAAATCAACCGCTTGTATGTATGGGGCAAGCCGAGAAGGTATAGGACGACAGTCAAGAACACTGACGTTGCAAGTAACGACGAGAGAAGCACGCAAGCACGTCGCAGTATTGCATTTCATGAAAGCCCACAAGAAGCACCTAGTCTCCCAAAACCCGATGGTTGGGAAACCTTCAATCCAACAAGCTGAACTTTGAGGCCCGAAAGGCTTGTAGTCGTTTTCAGTCACATTGCCTGGATGATGCAGCAGCTATCATGGGCTGAACTGAAACAACTAACTGGCAATAAGCTCTATAGGCCAGAGATTTTTGGTTCATGTGGGGCGCTACTGCCCAGGATTAAGCAGAATTTTAAAATGATGGGCCATAGCTTTGCCTGCCGGCCAGCTCAAACGAAGTTATTCCACTGCTCCAGAGTAAGACCTACGTTTTCTGGAGGAAGTCTGTGAAGGCCCGCTGGATGAGCCAGGTCGCAAACGTGTCGCGACTCTTGCTGTCAAGTTCGGCGTGTCGCAGAAGCAAGCAGGCCGGATGTAGATTGAAAAATGCCGTGCACTTTCCCAAATACGTATA